GCTAATGAGTCATCTCACTAGCACCAGCTACACACCTGAAAAAGGGGGTACAGGGCTGTTTCATTTTTTTACCAAGATTGAGGTACAGGGAGAGAGAAAGAGTGATTTGAAGTAACTTTTGTAGTTTTTATTAATTGTGGTGTTTGGTGGAAAATTACTGGATTTGACTTGAAGAGTTAGAGAAAAAAATCTTTCATAGAACTGTAATTCCTTACTTTGTAGAAATTAAGACAATTAAGTGCAACTCAATCACTGAGATTGTCTCACCTCTGTTATACAGATGAATAAATAAAATTAAATCTTTGGAATTACTACATCAGTTTCAGTTGAATTTTCATAATTCCCTCAATTCTTTCTACAGTCATAACCATTGAATAAGAAATGTTCACTGTATATACTTTTATACAGTAGAATACCAGACCTAGTGCATTTTTGCCCAGCTCAGTCATTTCTAATGTATTTTGTAATCCTATTACTACAGTAAAGCAGAAGTATGTGCTCAAGATTTCACAGGTGTCAGTGCAAATATAAAACTTGACCTTCTTTCAGGTGTTTGGAGGTATACTTATGCTACAGTCACTCAGCCTTTCATTAAGTGGATTTATTGATATTGTAAAGATGATTTAATTGTTTCTAGTCCATCCCCTCTCCAGGACTGTGTGTCTGTTTTCTCATTAGTACCGATGGCTGAGCAAAGCAGTTCATAGTTCTGTCTTGCTTAGGAACCCCTCTTGTGACACATCACAGAACTCCATTTGCAGTATCACATTTTAAGCCCATCACCAGCATTCAATTAATTATTACAGCTCTTTTGCACAACCCTTACTCTCATTTTTTTATCCTTAAAACTCATGGGTTTGTGCTTCATGTTAAAATGTATTTCATTTAATATTACAGGCTGGGGAAGTCATCCAATGGTTACAGAACATAGCCACCTTAGGTCAGCTATCATGAATGCTACTTTGGCCCTTCAAACACATCAAGATCAGCCTTACAGTCACATCTCAGGGCTGCAGCATTCTACCTTCCTCCCACAGGTCTTCCCTTTTCATGCAACGCTCCTTTAGCCTATAATCCAGTACGAAATCATAGCACTTCCAGCTTAATTGTAGTGATGGAGCCCTGTATCAAAAGCTTCAAAGTAGTCCAGAAATGGTGCTTTCTTTGGGGTTTACTTAAAAAAAACCTATTTAAGTAAGATCACATTACTGTGATAATATTCAGTAACTTGAAAATTTGTAAATCTTTCATATCTTTCCTTTTTGTTTAGCGACTGTTAAAGCTCTTACATATTCATGCCACTCTGTTTTTGCCCTGAAGACTTACACAGCATTCTTAACATGCTTTATTGAAAAAATATAAGCAACAAAATGACAGCAGATGGAATGAGCATGGACCTGTACCGAATGTAATCATGTTCTCTAGAAAACACTGAAGGAGTCCCAGTTCATGTAGGACCGAGACAGCAGTCTTAAAAACCAGGAAAGTTGTTAAAATTAATTTAGGAAGTTGCATTTTACAGTCCTCACAAACTGCCTAGACCCAGGGACTTGCAATTCCTCATGTTGATACTGCAGTGTCTAAGCTTTAGCTTGCTTTAAAATTTATTGTTTGATTTACTTAAGACTGGCACAATGATTAATTTTATCTTTCAGTGTCAGGTTATCCCTATACGTCAAAACATCCAATTCAGGAACTCTGAAAATTGAAAGAATAAAAGGGACTCCAAGTTCTGGGGGCTCTTAGGTGTTCTTTTAGAACACCAAGAGGAAATACATTCTCACTCTTATACTCAAAATTTTGAGTGTCTGTTGTTTGACTGACTTCTCTATATCAAGTTTAACATGCTGGGAAACCAAGGTATTGTACCTGCCCGGCCCTGAGGTTCTGGGTGCTTCTAAAGTGTTAGAAGAAAAACTCCGTAACTCGTTTTCCTTGACAGGGTTCATAACGAAAAGCAAAGAGTGTGTGTACAAGTTTTTCTTACTCTGATTGTTGCATATATGACTCTTCTAAAGACTATGTTCTTCCCTTAGAATTAAAACTATCTTCCCTTGGGCAAATCGCAGCCTTACCTCCTGTCCTAGACTCTGTTAGAACAAAGATCTTTCTTTTGGATCAGTTTAGCTTGACTTACTGATGCTGTATTGTTTTCGCAAACAGAGAAGTGAAGTACTTGGTACTAAGTTTACACACTGTAACATGTGGGCTTAGAAAGTTTTGGCAAGTTCTCCAGCTTTTCCCTAAAAAAAATTTCACCAAGTCAAAACTAAATGTGAAAGACACTGCTAGGATACTGCTTATTGTGCAAACAATTTCCTGCTATGTTCCAGCATATTTTGGTCTCTCAAAAGAGAAGAAAATAATTCTCCTCACAGATCCTGCTGTTATTTTCAGAAAATGTTTGGAGTGCTGCTCCTCCTTGCGCAGGATGTGTGCAATACCCCAGACTCTTAGGCTTCAAAGGTCCCATGCCAGCAGCCATCAGTGAGAAGGGTGGGCTGGAGCACCAGTAGCTGTTGGGATCACAACAATTACCTGTGAAGTAGTTCAACAGAACAGAGAATACCTTTTTAACTAAGGTGGGTGTTCAGAAAACTGAATTTGCAACTTCAGTCTGTCTGCAACATAAAACATGACACTGCACACCCCAGCCTCATAGACTACAACTGCCGCAACGCAGAAGGCAGATGAACACACTGTTTATAATTTTCATGTGCTTCATTTCTGATGTCTTGTGAGGAATATAGCAAAGAACCAAGTTCTGAGAGCATGGCACTATGGAGCTACTAGAGAACCACTAACTGTCTCAGTCAGAAAAAGCAGTAATATAAAGATTTTTCTTTTTTATCATGCTAGTGGAGTTCCTAGGTATTTCCTATATGGCAATTCATTTCAGCATGTAAGAGCAGAGCTTTGTTATGACTGGTGGCAGTACTAGAACTACATGCTGTCTTCAGTTTGAAGAGCATTGGGCTTCCTGGTCAATGCTTAAAAGCAAACAGAAGAGAAAGATAAGCACTGAGTCAAAAAAAGAACACAAAAATTTAGGAAACTGCTAAATAATTACAATAAAGCTTCCTGGCACTTGCTTCACAAAACATAGAGCTGCTACTTGGGAAACCTCTGTATCTTGCAGTACTGCAAACCAGTATCAGAAACTGCAACTGCTCCAGATCCGTTGCAGATATGATAAGCTTCATTCCAGCAAAGAAATTGCTCATTTATGGGAGCTGGGAGTATTGCCTTCTATCTTCCTCTTACAGCAAGTCTGACCGCTGAAGTCCAATGAAGTTCACATCCTCTACACTCCCTAAGCAATGCAAACACATGCTGTCAGCTCAAGACAAGCCATGGACCTGAAATCCTGAAATGCTGATGTCCAAGAATTTGAGCTGCTTGGTCAGCACAGCTGCAGAGGGTGCTTGCGGGAGGGGGGCTGTTTATTGCTATTTAACCCAGTCAGAGTTCTGGAAAATGCTTTCAAAGAAGGAAGTGGACACAGAACAAAGTGTGAGCATGGTCAGCTGGTTCTGTCACTTGATCCTCTCCAAATAAAACACTAAGCAGACTGTTCTCCATGGTTTAACGTTTTGCCAGGGTCCTGTTTGCAATGTGCTACAGACAACTAGCTTGATTAGAGCTTTCTTGGAATAGTACTGAGGAGAGAGCATAACTGCCCACACGTACAGCATTATTGAGCAAGGCACCCACAGTCATTACAGTGGGGTGTAGCAGAAAGCCATACCCTAGATAAGCCTTCCTGACAAAACTAGGTCAAAGAGTCTTACCCATTAGTTTCTAGATCAGGTTCTTCCACTTCTCAGAAGGTGATTCAGGTACCTAGATGCAGACAGGCAGTGCTGTTTGAAGCTGCCCAGGACATTCAAAACACTGATCAACCAGGGATGACAGGTATATTGCAGGCCCTGAGATACTCTCAGGCATCACAAATGACACTGAACACCTGAACCACAGTGGTTCTTTTTAAAGCCCTGTATATCCTCTCATCTGATCTATATGTAGTTAGTTAACTGGAACATCTGAAAACTCTTAACTCCCTACATTCTAAAAAAAAACCCAAAAATGCATTGCTTAAAAGGTCTGCCTACTACTATGTTTTTCTACCATGTTTTTCCCTATCCTCTTCCTTGTTCAGAAACAACACTTACCTGTTAACAATTCCACATTCTTCAGGTGAGCCTGACCTCTCCAGCTCCCCCTGCAGATTCATCTTAATTTGTAGAAAGTATACTTGTAATGACATTTCAAAACCAGAAAAACAAAAGTAATCAGAGCTGTTTAAAATTACATGCTAGCTTTGAAACATTTACACTTTTAATAACAAAAATAAAAGGAAGATATGTACGTGTAATAAAATTGGCCAAAAGTCTACATTTCAAAGAATTACAGCAAGCCCATCTACAGTTAAAGAATCCAGGTCTGAAGACTGAGAGGTCCACACTCAGACATTAAATGTGGACAACTGTGGGCTGAAGATGACTGACTTTAAATTAGAGCCAGACAAACTGACTCCACCACTGCAGGATCTGATGCCGTTATCCTGGCAGTATTATTCCACTGTTTGACATGAAATCCTTGCAAAATACCTACAAACAGAGGTGTTCATAGGTATCTACTATACAAGTCTAGGCATACAAAGTTGAAAAGGGTAAAGTAAGAGTCAACTAGTAAGAGAATAGGAGTTCCTAGACTACTAGCTTATAAAACAACACTTCAGAGCGGGCTGGAAGATCCTACTATTTAATTGCACAATCACTATAAAGTTCCAAACACAGAAAAACAGCTTTTACATTTAATCTTTAGCACAAAGACTGCAGAGCTACCCTATGCCTCATCTTTAAGGTGATGAGGACCAAGATTTCTATCCTTTGAAAAATCTAGATAGAGAAAGTAGCAGATGCTGTTGGGGTTTTGGGGGATTTCTGTTTTTAAATAAAGAGGGAATCAGCAAGCAGCACGGAAGCTCACTTCAAAAATGAAAGAAAGACAAATGGAATTAAGTTTTATTGTACTTTTGGAAGCAAACCACCCCAAAATTTTGTCAGGAAAAGACAGCACTCTAGTTACTGCAGTCTACAGAGAAAAACCAACAATGGGAACAGAGTAAACAAACACTCCTTTGAGAAGTAGAAATATTTAATTCAGTCTTCATACAAACTATTAGTAATATACATTACACAAGTATCAAGACATGAAAAAACTTCTAAAATTCCTGCTGTTCCCGCAACAGTTAGCCTCTTTTCTCCTCAAGTCCAGAAGAAAGCCAAAACAGGAGTAGCTGAAGTTAATATTAATTATTAATAACAGCAATCTTAATATATTTCCTCACATCCACATGGAGGAAACTCATGAGAAGAGTTGTGCCAAGCTCCATTTTAGGAACTCAAGCAAAAGTTTTTTATTCAAAATGACACTAGTGTAACTACTTTCCCTATTCAGAAAGGAACGCCACAAAAACCTCACCCTAATGTTGACTTGGGTTTTATGAACAGAAAGAGCCTTTGGCACCGAAGGCCTAGAGTGCTCCTAATGATGATACACTTTACTATAACACAACTGTGTTAGGTGGTTGATTAATCACCTTCTGTACCACAATTTTCCATTCTTAAGACACTGCTGGCTTAAGCTTCAGCAGTTGGAGGATGACAGGTACAAAGACATTTTGCAAGTTTCCCTCTTTATGAAAGAAATGTACGGACTGTACCCTTTATTGTCCCCCTGCAAATAGGGCATTTTCTAAGGGATGGTGCACATTCTTTGCATACCACTAAGTGACCACATGGAATAAAAACAATAGAAACTTCTTTGTCCATGCAAACTTTACATGTTCTTTCCTCTTGCAATCTTCTTAATTGTTCTTCCATAGGCAAACCTGGAAAAAATAGTTAACTTTTTGTCAGCCTGAATATGTGTATATATTATATCAAAATATATTTAGAGTATAGCCATGCTCCATTTCACCCTTTATTTCCCCATCTGTACTCACTAAATATAGATGGCAGTAAGAAAATAAGAACATTTTCCAGAGCTCAGAAGTGGCACGCAAGGAACCAGTCTGTACTTTCCACTTCTGAGAGATGACAGACAGCTCAGGGTTGGAGGCCAACCAGTGTTTAGATTTGAGCAAACGCTGTGCTTTTCTTGCTTGGATATCAGAAACACAGAGCATAGCCTGACTGGTGGAAGTGAGCTAAATCCAGGCTTGTAAACTTTTCTGCGGTCTGTTAACAGATTACACTACAGGACTAAGAACCAGAGCAAACTCAATCCCATGTCTGACAAGTGTTTATGTACCCAGCTCTTGGGTCAAGCTAGATGTCAGGACACCTATAACCCACAATGGAAAAGCAGAGATGAAGCCTGTTGTGGAATGCTAACCAACTATCCTCTCTCCAGTCTTTACCAAACACCTGAATGAGAGCTTTTATCAGGATCAAGTCCAGCATGTGCTTCAATTGTTGAGCTCCAGAAAGCTCTACATCATATAGTGCAAAACCATATATAAGGCACATGCACTTAACTTTTGGTTAACTTTTCCAGTCCATTTTACTAAAGCAGAATTAGGGAGAGGGTAAAGCATAAAACTTACTTCTTAAACAAAGCAATTTTTTTATGTTAGCTATTTGTTCCACAGTACCCTTTAAGATAAGGCAGAATTTAAGGTACCTGAAACATCTTCTGTGGGAACATACTTCATGTTCTTCTCCACTGAAACAGGAGAAAAAAAAATCCTTGTCATTTGACTAATCTATGTTGAAACAGCATCTGTTTGTTTCTTTTTTTTCAGGTTGCTATGAGAGCACTGGTTAGACTTCTATAAAATTATATCTTTTACAAACAAAAGAAAACCAGACAGACATACCAAATAAATCTTTGTAGAGCACAGGGTCACAATCTCGTAGGCAGTTCCTGAATATGCTGGCTGCTTCATTTCCTTTCACTAAAATTGTATCTATCAGTTCCCTTGCTTGCAATGGTGTCTGAGTCTTCTGCTTAATAACATCGTGCTCAGGTTCTGTTATCACTTTAGCTGATAGTAAACTCCCAAGGACTGGAAGTACACATGTTAAACGTTGGAATAAAGCCATGCGATTCTTGCGGATTAAGGATAAATCATCTGGAACGTAAGGAGGATTAGATATTTGTTAGGAATACACTACTCCAAGTTGCACTTCTTTTTAACAATAATTGATACATTCTTTACACTCTATTTGAACCATTTGCTTATTACACATCATTAACAAAGCCCTCAGTAAGTTTTAGTGGTATTCACATAACGAACAGACTTAAGAAAACTACATAAAAGCAGCTTCTGAGCCAAAGCCCTTTCACCCAGGAAACCTCCTGCTCCCATCTCTAGGTTAAATGATCTGGGGGGGGGTCTTGTCTAACTCCACACTAGCGAGACTTACACTCTCCAGAGAATTGCAAAGAAAAAACACCTCTGCATAACACCAGTGCTAACTTATCGATAACCAAGAGGTTAACTTTAGTCAGTGTAGGCAAAATCATGTTTGTACATAGAAGAAAGCTCTTCTAAGAGGTGTCCAACAGAATTATGTACAAAAAAAACCCTGAACAACAGCACAACCAGACTCTGGAGACTTTTTTAAGACTACCACAAACAACAATAAAAAAATTTCCATTAGGATTTAATGCTGAATCCATCCATAATTTTTTGACAGAAATGAGACTAGGAAAGAAGCAGCCTTAAGTCAGTTTATAATTGAGAAGTTTCATTATGCTTCACAAGCTCAAATCCAGAAGGATTTCTTTAGGCTGAAAAACTTCTATGGTATTGAAGCTACAGGAAATGTTAAAGGCACATCAAATAAACACTAAATTGCTGACGTACATGGGCCGAGTCAGATACAGTAAAGCATATCTTTGGCCATCTTACAGAATCTGAATTTGCAGCAGTTTATGGCCTCTTCTAGGAGGTGGATATGGTGGCTTACTGATTCAAGCAGCTTAAAGAGCAGGCAAATTTGGAAAAAAAATTAGTAGAGTGTGCCAAGTATTTTATTAACAGCAATATAAAGGCACACAAATGAAAAATGGCTTTGGAAAGAAGAGATGATTCTGAACCCTCGGCCCCTGGTATGAACCATTCTCCTAAAAGGGAATGAAACAATTCCCAGACTGCTAGTTCCATACAGATATCCTGACAATGCTTTTAGAGAAGCTGATCCTAATAGCAATTAAACTAGTGAATTCACTTAGTGAATCCAAACAAATATAGAAAATCTATACATATGACAAACCACTTCAAATTTCACTTTTATTTATGCCTTATATGTACCTGATGCCGCTTCTTCTAATTGTTTTTCTTTCTCTTCTTCAATCTTCTCATCTTCAGCAATGAGCAGATCAGACACAAGATCATTAACAGTCTTGTAGTTTTCTCCAGTTGCAAAGATTTTACTTTGCACTGTTTGCTTTATTAGCCTTCTACTGAATCCCATCTCCAAGGCGGCTTTAATAACAGGTGTGTTCATCATGACTGCATCTTCTGAATGACTCTCTCCAGGGCCAAAACGAATAACTAATCAAAGAAGAAAATCACCATGTATAATATAAAGAATAAAATATCTATACAACTCAGAAGTTGGACACATCAACGTTACCTACACACATGAACACCTGGCAGTAAAAAGTTTCAGTGGCTAAATAGAATTTTTTAAAAGTAGTTTTAAAAATGGAAGCCAGTTACTTAGTCATGGATTGAATCCAAGATAAACATCAATCCATGTCAGGCCTTTGCTAAAATCGAGGATAATCCAGAGAAACCACTGAGAATTCCATTGTGTCTTAACAGCTTTTTTTATACTTAGTCATTTCTAACTTCAGCCTTGAAAAACGTCTTGGGGGAATGGGGTGAGGGGGTGGAAATCTGTTTATAGTACCAACAATTGCTCTATTCCAAGTCTTGATTAGTATTTTCCATTCCACTTAGTACGCACCAGACACATGGGACTCCTACTCATTGTCCTCAACCAGCAGGGACTAGGACAGCATGAACTCCTCCCAGAGGGTGAGTGGATTTTTTTCCACCATAACTAGAATCCAGCCCAGAAAGACTTCACTTTTATCAGCTTGTCCTACCTTCTTCCTTAACCTCTGCTGCTTAACTCAGAGCATTTACTCAGCTATGTGCCTAAAGATGGAATTGCATAACTGCATGGTTATGACACCCTCTAGCAATTGTTCCACCAAGTTCAATACTTGCTTTGTTTAACTGAAACCCTGAAACTAAAACCCACAAATGCAGCAAGTGCCAAGCATTCAAACCCACACATTTTAATATGAGCTGCTAGCATGAAAATAAGGAAAATAAAAAACAAGATCTCTTAGAGGTGTTTCCTTGGACTTTATCCATACAACATCAAAACTACCTCACTTTTAGGGAAAAAATGTAAGAATTGGCTATCCAAAGCTAATTTGCTTAGCAATCATTGAGTTTGCAAAATGCTGAAGAAGTGTAAAAACATGCTTTAATATACATACTTGGGGGATCAATGTTTTCATCTACAGGCGGCTCAGAGGTTGACAAGAGCTGTGGAACAGAAAAGAACTACATTAGTATCAAAATACTGCTTTTCCCTCTACGTACCTTTCTAACACATTCTTCCATCACAAACCATGCTAAGCCTTTTACCTGAGTGGTACCCATTAAATATGTTACATGCAGTTACACAAGTCTGCAAATTTGTGCAATTATATAATCAATATAAAGCTGGTGCTGACCACTTCCATGAAGAGGAGTTTGGCATACTTTTGCCAGAAGAATTACAGATAGAAATAATTCAGGCTGTCCATGACTGATTTCTGAAATAATAATTACTGATCTGCATTATTCAATGACACAGAATTTCCCTCTCTAAACATAAAGGAGCTCATGCCTCAAAGGACTTTCCACAAGTAATCCGTAAAAGTTAAAACTTTATTAGTCCAAGACTAGCCATGGTTCAGCACTGGTTTCTTGTATGTGATCATGAAGAGCATTTATCATGTTAGAAACCTAGGAGAAACATATGCAGAAATGAGGCAGAAGGAGGGACCAAACTCACAAAAAGGACACAGCACTCTTCAACAAGGGAAAAGCAAAGTTACAGGACAGTAAAGTTTACCTGTTCAAGGAGATGGGGGAATCTGGCCTGAATTTGACTTACAAACTCTCTTCCTTTTACACGAAGCAGATACTCACATCTGGAAAATTGACATATCAAATTATACGTTCAACTTGCCAAAGGAAAAAAATACAGAAGAATGAAGGAGTTTAAACCCAGTGTAACTTAAATACTTATGTTTCTCTTCCTTCAGAAGAGAAAGAGTACTCTTAATGGGAAGCTTGATGCAGCCTAGTGTCAGGTGACAGTTTGATAAAACTTTTCCATGATGTCCAGCCACCAGTAGGCTTATGTATATAAATGCAGCAACTTTACATTCTGCTACCACTTGTAATCAAAACTGCATGTCATGAGAAATGATACTGTGTCAGCATCACTACAAAGTGCAGTGATGAACTGTTTCTATCTTGCATCTTACCATTCTTATCTCCTACTCAAATCATTCAAAATAATTTAACAAAAGTTAACGCCACTATCAAAGCCAGATCCACTTCACTAATTCAGAGTTTTATCTCCTCTGTACATTTACTGACAGGCTTAACACAGTAAGAAACAAAGTTGTCACTTAACCCTACACACATCATGTAGTCCAACAGTAGGTAGTAAATTGCCCACGAAAGCCTAGTTGGAGATCTACTATGAGAAGAACTATAATTAGCTTTCCTGAAATTAAGTGTCATTAATGTAGGTGGCAATTTTCAAAGGCACAGACAGTAATTAGGTATGCAATTGCCATTTAATTAGGGATGACATTAAAAAGTTATTTCTGTTATTTTTCCAATAGAGACATATTAAACAGCCACTGAAACCTTCCTCACAAGCCCTTCCACATGTAGAAAACTAAACTGCACAAGCAGAAAAACTGGTTCAAGAGCATTCAGCATGGGCACAGAACTAGAACAACTGAGTTAAACATACTTCATTTCTCAACAGCCTATGCTCTCCCCAGTCTGCTTTCTGACTGCTTCTCTTAGACAAATATGCTCATTAACAATGCAGTCTCACTTGCTAATAGTGATTTAGGGATGCACATAGCTTTTAATTACAAGGTGGAAAGCGTTACATACCATGTTTAACAAAGAAATGTTTTAATTAAGCCCACCTCAGCATTTCAGAGCTTTTAAATACACATGAAATACATCCAGAAGAAAGAGTACATCATACGGTGAAGTTAAACAGTACATACCTGCCAAAATTAGAAGCATTTAGGAATGTGAACAAATTATTATAAAGATGTTGCAAGTTACCTTGGAAACCACTTTGCATGCTCAATCCATGGATCATCTCCAGATTCCCAGCACCTTAACCCGCCATCACAGCAAAAACACTTGACATCATCATTGCGCCCTTTAAAAAAAGAACAAGGCAAAATATCTGGCAAACATTCACACAATTTACCTTAAAGTAAATGTTGACATAGCTGCATGAATAAAACCGGAGCAGTCTGTTTTTCTTACCTACATAGTAAAAGCCAGCATCTGCAAGCTGTTCAGGCTGAACTGGAATTCTGGTTGGCCAATTGATGAATGTTTTAACACGTGCCTCATGGGTTTGCATGCTCACATTTGAAACATTGAAACCTGGCGGGTCTCGGGTGAGGTTTTCCACAAAAGAACAGTTTGGATAGTGCCTCCGGTGCTCTGACACAGCATTATCTTTCGGTTCCCAGTTACACAGCTGACCGCCGCAGGTAAAACAAGCAACTTTGTCTGCTGTCCCCAGATAATAAAGTCCGGCCTTTGCCAGATCAGTGGGTGAGAGAAACGTCAGTGGCCATGAGTGAAAGGTGCGTAGCCTAGCCTCTTCTGTACTCATAGATGGATTGTAAAGCTTATGTCTCAAGAATGAAAGGTCTTCAGCTGCCCTAGTAGTTACTGGGTCTTGAGGAAAACTGGAAAAAGAGCCACTGAAATATCCAACTTGTTCTAAACTTGGAGAAAGCGTTATGGAACGTAGAGATGGTGAGGGACTGTTTGCAACTGAGGGCAAAAAGGCGGAACGAGATGACAATCCAAGGTTGTTAACTGAAAGCATGCTTTGAACAAAACTGCAGCCAGGACATAGCTCTTTATGTTTTTCCATAGCATTATCTCCTGGTTGCCAGTTATCCAGTGTTAAGCCACAACTGAAGCACTTAACTTTATCCTGCACACCAGTATAATAAAACCCAGCCCGGGCAAGACTCCGTTCTGATACTGGCATGTTAACGGGAAAAGCAGAAAACGTTGACATTCTGTAGAGTTCACATGATAGGTCATACTTCAGTTCACCACACACAGCACTGTGCCTCATGATGCTAGCCAAGAAAGGGCTATCTTCCACTATATTCATAATGGACTGGTTTTGGAAAAATGGGACAAGTCTTCCTCTGGGAGGTAGTTGTGTGCATGAAAGGCAATTTGGAATAACCCCCGCCTGTACAAAAGCAATAAATACTTTAATGTGTAACTTCAAATGAGCATGTGAATAGAATCTGCCTCGTGATTAACAGCCTTTTAACATTTCGGAAGTTCTTGTAGTTTAGTTTACAAAACTGCTTTCAGTGCAAAAGCTGCCTCATCCCATTTTAACAATTGAAGAAAGCATGTTGAAAAGGAATTTCGCTTGAATCATATAAGCATCACATGCTTTCGTTCTTTTGCATATCTGGGAGAGCAGTACCAACTTGTCAGGCTAGCGGAGGTGGGATCAAAACAGGAAAAACCTCAAAAGGGTTTACTAATCCTTTGTCAATAAAGAAACTAAAATGGGGGGCAACTAAAACAATATTGTTCTTATCCAGAACATATGTCAAGTGATTTAAGAACTAGATTTCACCCTAGACAGCTGATAAACATGTAGCTTATAGGCATCTATAGATTTTAGTTTGAAAACCTCATTAGGAACCTGAAAAGTAGGGTTTATCAAGTTCAAAGGGCATACAAAAAATAGAGACCCTGAACTGACATTACTGAACTGATCTGGTATATTTGCGACTACTGGCTCCCAAAAAAACTTCTCAACTTTGCATATTGATGTAACAAGTTGTTAAGACTAAAGAAGTTAGTCTATACACAACTCCACATGTATTGAATATTCAGCTATTAGAGAAACAAATCCTATACACCGTCTCTGACAAGGATAAACTCTCTCTGTTAACAAATCTGGGATAGCCCCAGCTTTTCTGTCTACAACAGTGTCAGCACTGAATTAACAAATCATTTCAGTTTTAACCTGGTGCCTGAGTTACAAGTACAGAGTTATCAAATTTAACATAAATTAATTGCCTTGTGTCGGGACATTCTGATGCTTTATACAATTGAATTAAGTTTTTTCTCCACGCCATGTTTATGGCAGAGTAAACAGAACCCTCACATTAAAAAAAATAATAAAATTGATGCCTTAGTTTCTTTATTTCTGCACAGAACTACCTCCCAGAGTTCAGACTGAAGTCCCTATTAAGATGTCTACGCCTCCATATTGATACTGACTGTTCTCAAGAAGAAACTGTAAGTATCTGTAGTTTCAATCATCTAATTCTTTTGGGTGGAACAAAATCTGTAAGAAAGAAAGAGAGGAGTGTTTCAAAATATACAAAATTAGGTGCATGCAATGTCTATGCAAACAAAAATTACACAAATTAAAACATAAGCTTTTTTGTAATCACAGAACGTTAAGAGTTGGAATGGGCCTTAAAGATCATCTGGTCCCAATCCCCCCTGCCATAGGCAAGGACACCTCCCATTAGACCAGGTTGCTCAGAGCCACATCCAACCTCGCCTTGAACACTGCCAGGGGTGGGGTGTCCACAACATCCCTGGGCAACCTGTTTCAGTGTCTCACCACCCTCACAGTACAGAATTTCTTCCTAATATCTAACCTAAACTTCCCCTCTTTCAATTTCTACCCATTACTCCTTGCCCTATCACTACAGTTCCTGACAGAACCTTTTGCCTCTCTGTAGGCTCCCTTCAGATACTAGAAGGCTGCTATGAGGTCTCTAGGCAACCTCCTCTTCTCTAGGCTGAACAGCCCCAACTTTCTCAGCCTTGTCATGTTAGCTAGAAAGTTTCAAGGAGTCAACACTACACTGTGATATGGAGTGGATTTTACACACTTAATTTCCCTGTTACTGACACACATGCAAAACTGTTTAATCCACGAGCAGAATTTTTCTGGCAGATGTATTAATCGGTCTACTTAATCACCAGCTGTATAATTAAAGGTAAGATCCTGTATTAAAGCTGCAACCATTTAAATTGGTTTAAGCTTGCAAATTCTCAAACAGTGAAGGTCCAGTTTTATAACACTGACTTAAAGAGCACTGGAATTTTTAACGTACATGAAGTCAATTATATTTGAAGCACAGGACATCAGCAAATCTAAACTTTGCCAAAAATTCAGGTAAGGCCAAATACAAAGTTTATATACATATATATGTGAATAAATACAAGATTATATATTTAACAGTCTGGTATGGAGCATTAGTTCCTAAAAAGTTCTTCCAGAAAAGGCTCAAAACAGTTATCATGACACAGCACTACGAAAACAGCCCCCTGCGCTAAGGGCACAGATCTGGAGCACCAGAAGGCGCCCGGCGGGGTCTGTCCGTGGCCGCACCCCCGGCAGCCACAGCCCCATGTCCCCTTGTCCCTCCCCAGCTCCGCCAGGCCTCGCCCTCCGCTCCCCTCGGGAGCGCGGGGCCCGAGCGGATCCAGCAGGGCTGCCACGCTCCCCTCCACGGCCTGGGGCGGCACAGGACCCTCAGCCGCCCCGGGGCTCCTCCGCCACACCGGGGACAGGCACAGGCGCAACCGCCCCCCCAGTGGCAGCGCCCTCCCGCCAGGGCCCGGCCCTGTCCCGCCCGTCCCTCCCCCCCCGCCCCAGTACTCACGGCCTCCGGGCGGGCCCCGCAGCGCGCCCCAGCGCCCCAGCCTATATGCGGTGCCTGGCAGGGAGCGGGGGAAAACGAGCCCCCGACCGGCACCGCCCCGACCGGGAAACTCCGGCCGCGGCGTCGCACCGGGAAGTCCCGGCGGCCGCCGGGCGCAGGCGGGGCCGGACGGGGCCCTGCCCTTCCCCTTCCCCCAGCGAGCGAGCGCCGCCGGGCGGCGGGAGCGGCCCCCGGGGCTGTGCGGGGCCCTCGACGCGGGGGCGCTGCTCGGTCGGCCGCAGTGCTGAGGGGAAGGGAGGCCCCGGCCCTTGACAGCACCAGGGATCTTGGGTACTTTCCTCCCGGCCGGCGGGGAAACCCGCCCGCAGAACGTGCTTTCCTTGGCGGGGATTTCCAGCTCGGCGGGCGCGGCAACGGGAAGGGGAGCGCCCGGGGGGGGGCAGCGGCCCAGGCTCGGCACTTCGTACGACGGGCTGCACACACAGATCCGCCGTCCCGAGCGGGTGGCCAGGACGGGGCTCACTGCAAACCCCGCAGTTTCTTTCACCTCTGCTCCTTGACACCAGTGTCAAGCTTGGCCGCATTTCCTTATATAGGCAGCTCTGCAGCCTGCGAGAGGGGAAACAACGTGACAGGCGAAAGACCCCGGTCACTGAAAGTCACAGAGGAAGAACAAGAGGAAGACAAAATAAGATGAATTTCCACTGGAAAGGTTTAAGGCAGTATCTCTGAGTACAGAAATCTGAAAAACTTCCACGGCAGCTACCAGAACGCTGATCAGAAGTTCAAAATCTCCCAGCACAGTTATGGTCTGGCATTTCCTATGAAGAAACAGCAGATAAAAGATTTTAAAAAGCCCCTTTTTGGGACGACAGAATGATAGTAGGGTGTTTACACAACTGAGAACTGAAGAGTAAAAATAAAGGAAGTGTGATAGAGCATTATGACACTAGTGGGTAATTTTCTGTAACAGAGTTCCAGTAAGATGAGTTTGCAAGACACTCATTCATATATATTCTAAAACTGTTACAAATTTCCTGTCGTATGTCATGACATCTATCATATGTAAGTAACAATACTGTCACATTTGAACCACCTAGCTGTGGTGACAGCTAGTACAGTACAGCTGCTACTGTTACACCATTTAATATCACATAATGATAGACATAGAAACCTTTGCATTTCAGTAGTTGCACAAAAAAAACCAAAAAGGTCAAAAACTTTTTGAAGTTTAAAATGGTTGTCAGATCACTGATACGTTGTGTTATGGAAGTTGCTTACACGGAAATCAAGGTTCAAAGTACTGTATCTGAAGAGTGACGGGGTGTGGTATTTAGTTTTATTTGACATAGGGAACTGTTTAATGTCACATAAGGAACTGAGCTCTGTATTTGTACGTGCATGTGCTTAAAGATTTACTTTGACAGGTTATCTCCAGTTTTGGGACTTAAAGCAGGACTCCCCAAATGAAGTTACATTGAATCTACTGTAAGATTCTTGACTTTTTACCCTACATTCTCCCAAGCCTAGTTAATCCAGTGCTCCTCCTTAACTCTGCTACATCCCTCCCTCCCTTATGCCACTCCACCCCCAGCCACTATCTGCCCTTGCCCCTCTGTACCCTTCAGCTTCCTGCTAATCTGGCAATATAAACTGCTATTTCCTCCCCTCCCAGGCCTCAAGGCAAGAGGTTTCAGGTTCTCCCTTTCTGCTTGTCAGCCTCATGTCACAATGAGGAGGAAGGGAGGGGAGGAACTATGAAGCAGACTAAAATGCTTGGGATAGCAGAAAAAGATGTGTAGCTGCCCTGAGCTGTCAGGCTCTTTCAGCTTGCTTTGCCTCTTTCAGTATAGTAGCAGCTCCCCCACTTCTCCAATCCCAGCAATTCCTTTGCTTTTTCTGAGAAAGAGATAAGAAGGAACTTCCCTCACTTAGCTACAATGATGTCCCCAAAGGACATGAGGTAAGTCTGTAACTAATGGGCTGAAATTCCCAAGTAACAGTGCATTATCATCTGTATTCTGTGTATGGCTTCAGCCTGGGACCAAGGGTAACTCTTCAGAAGCAGAAGAGGACAGCAGTGCTTAAGCCCTACCCAAGCTAAATGCAGGCTTTGGCTTTGGTTCTCTGTAAATTCTCAGTCACATCACAAGGACTGTTCCCTATTCCAGCCCTTTCACCAGCTGCAGCAAGCTGTCAAGATCACAATGTTGACCTAAAACCCAGTAGCATTGATAAACTGAAACAAGGCCTTCTACTTTGTAGACTTTTAGCTCTCGAGAGGAGGAAGGCGGCAGCTTTCAGACAAAGCTGTCCTCAAAAAAAGGAAACTGCTTTCATAAGAAGTCCTGTCTAATCATAGAGGTCAAAGTGCTAATAAAAGTGTGGCTGCCACATTACCAGTGTTTATGAAAATAAACTTACCGGCAGTGTTGGGTGAAACAGCAGAGGTGATAGAGCAAATTTCTGGAGGTGGAAGGCAGTGCCCCTGCAGCATGAGTGCATTATCAATGCCGCATCTATCAAGTAACACAGACAGCCCCTGAAGTATTTGATGTAACTGCAAGCCCAGAAGTCTTCTCTGAGAGGCCTAACAAATATCAGTCTCCCCAAGCTGTCACCCTTCTCTGGTGCCTTCTCCTGTTTACCATCCTCCACAACATTAAAACATCTGGCTTTAATCATGCCTCTATAACACACCTCTAAATATCTATTGAGAGGAGAGAGGGAGAAAACACACTATTATTTGCCTTTTCCATTGCTACTGCTTTTCTGTCCCACAAATTACAGAAACAATACTATTACCTAGTTTCTCACCACCATAAGGAAATGTCAGAATATCTTGCTAGGATTTCAGCCTTACCAATTACACATGTACAACCTTAACAAACTGACATGCACAATGGTTAACCACAATTTTTATCACAGGTGTTTTCTGGAGATACAACTAGCTCAAAGTAGCAAAATAATCTTGTCAGTGCTATCTGCAGTTTCAGTAATACTGCTTTGGTCCTTAAACCTATCTAAGAATATAACCTGTAGTTGCTTTTTTGTCACAGGGACAAGCATTCAGTTGGGTGAAGAAAAAGTACTCCACAAAACATTAAATGTATTACTTCAACTGTATCTACGGCCTGCCTGGCTGTTGATATATAGCAATAACAGAAAATATCTTCATTCCAAGCTGCTTTTAGGAGTTGGAAATCTGGCATTTCTCCAAGGCCTCACAAGGCTTCATTGGGAAGCCATGCAACTCATCTAGTGAACTGAGAGATAGAGGGAGACTCCTGTACCAGCTCTCCCACAAATCTAAACCCACCTATAAAACCTGTATTAAAACATAAAACCAGTTATCACTGGCTAGTGCCCACATTTTTCAGCTTCCCAAAGGTATCAAATGCCTCCATGGAACATGATCTACTTATTTTGAATTATGGAGTGTTAATTGCATTGCAAGCATCAACTCCCGTTTCAGGTTTGGTCTGTTAAACTGATCTAAGATGGCGATTAGCATTTCACAAAAAACTACTGAATGAGTTTTCTCCGGAAGATATGGCTCATCAGCTCCTTGAGGACACAAGAGGAAGATAATGATGAGAGAAATAGGAAAAAAGTAGATAGTAAGGAAAACTTGAGAAAAAACAGCTTGAGGCAGAAAATACTAACTGTGGATAAAGTGGCACTATCTATCAAATGAAGCCAAGTCCCAAGAGCAGAGTAGTTCTGACATCCTGTAAACATGAGATCAAATAAACTATGTTTTGTTAGTCTAGGTGGGTGCAAACTGCCCACTTTGTTTTGACTAAACACAGCAACAGGGCATCTACATCTAAACCAGCAATAATGATTACTTTTTTCTTTTTTTAAATGAGAATTTTTAAATTGCAATTGGGCATACAGCAAAAAAAAGAAGTATAAACCTCACAAGGAACAAATATAATATCTAGACATTAAGGGCAGCCATGACTCATCGTAATAACTCAAAATGTTCAAGAATAAAAAAAACCAAAACCCAGAGCGTACATCTTGCTGCTCCCTTTCTGAAGGTCAGTACATTCACAATCTGCAAAGTTTCCATTCCCTTTTCACGCAGACAGAGTTTTGTTTTCCACATCCTCCTACGCAAAGGATCACGAGTACAAAAGTTAAAGTTTACCTTAATCAGTTGTGCATTTTCTCACATTTAGTGCTCAGATAAATTCTCCCATTAGCCATGAATAGCCTCAATAATGTATCAAAGTCACACTGAATAAGTTGAGGCTTTTAAATCAGTCAGAAACTCTCTTTGATTAATATTTACTTAGAAGATAAAAAATAATCAGAATGAGTTGCAGGAAGATCTTGGTAAATGCTGAATTCAATTATCTTTCTAGATCTGAGAATCTGATCACTTTTCCAAATTTTATTGTATGCTTCTAGGAAAACCCGTTTTGTTCTTCTGGTGAAATAATAAACATTACATTCAACAGGAGATAGAAGCATGAAGAATGTCAAAGAGGAGATGACTGGATTAAAATGAACCACATTTAGGTGGAAAGAGGAGTACCTATATATCAAGGGAATCAAAAGGCTTCAATTCAACTGCATCAAATTAAGTAAATTCAGGGCTCCACATTCCTGGTTCTTCCAAAGGAGTTGTCTTTCTAAACAGCAGGTTGGCTGCTTTGACTCCATGTTACTTCCTGCTGTCAGGGACCCCTGGTGACCTAGTGGTTAAGATACAGCACTCTCACCGCTGCGACCCAGGTTCGATTCCCAGTCCCCCGGGCAGATGGAGCTCGTTAGCCCTGTAAGGCCATCCATCTATGAGAAGGTCACTCTAAACAAACCTACGTCCTGAGGACCTCACTGCCATTGTCCAAGCTTGCTTGGCCCCGGCAGATGAACCTTAGGATTAAAGGGTGGGCTCAGTTCAGCGCATGCTGTGTCTCACCTAAAAAAATCCATTGCGCAGGCTTGAAAGGTAAAAGACCTTTCCCAAAATCTTCGTTTGCGAAGACTGGCCATCATTATTATTACTTCCTGCTGTCAGAGTATGAAAATTTCTCTAGATCTGATTTCCCTCGTTTATTCCCCATCATCTCTCTGTGGATTTTAGATCCTTCC